GTTATTGCTTTCCTTAGTTCAACAAACCAAACCCCCTCCCCCCCATTTAATCACTTTAGTATATAATTATTAAATTTAATTTCGAGTTTGCAATTGATTAAATTGAAACAATCCTCTGCGGGAAATGACCCTTACTTGCCATATTACTATTTAAGACGACATATTTAAAGTTAAGTAAGGAAATTAGTTGGTACTCATTTTGAGCGTACCACACACCCAGAGAAGGCAACTAATTTACCTTGTAATTCCAGAGGGAAGTGAAAACGAAATACATCCAAATGAGTATGCTGCCAAAGGGTTGCAATCCTCCCATCAAGGATGAAAATTTTAAATTAACCGATTATTTAGACCTAACTTGCGGAATTACATAATTAAAAACAAGAAGTCATTTTTTAATTGTTTCAGATGATTAATCAATCACGTCAATTTATCATATATTGATTTATCACAATTAATAATTAAAGTGGTCAACAACGCAAGATTTGTTGACAGAGAAAAACCTTTACATGATTAAAAAATCTGAAACTAAGTTAGTAACTTCCACTATAGACAATAAAAACTTACAGTATGTTCCAGTATAGAAAATCCACAAGACTCGTTGATCTAATTCATGCAATCTCTAAGGTACCTATTGGAACGTACTTCACTCACACCTACTCTCAATCTTCTGGAATTCCCTATCTCCTGTGGATCGCCGAACACCTTGTTTTTGTACTCTTCCCACGCTTCTGGTCCAATCTCCCTCAATTTTCAGCAACCTCTAAAAGTTAATGAGAAAGTACATTTCTGATTATATTTAGAAAGAGTGTATGCAGAATTATATGATTTTGATATTTTTTCGAACTTGTGGTTGATTAATCTCAAGATGTAGAATTGTTAGTTGATCTCCATAGGAAGTTATGAAGGTAGAAAATAATGATAAACTCCCATTGGTATTTATAATATGGAGGGATTGGGTAATATATGATAGATAAAAACTGTTGAAAATCACGAACTAAGATTTCTTGAAAAATATCGTCGCTCGAGCGTCAAGCTAGCGACAAGCGGGCGACCTTGGTTATGTTTTGGACGATTAGGCTTCAGCTTGGCGACAGGTTGGCGTAAATCCGATAACTCTTTTTTCATGTTCCATACTCGAATCCAAAAACTCCTAATTCATCTGTACAACACCTCAAAAGACTCATTGACTTTTACAAATCTTTTATAATAATCATTTTGTCTAAAAAATTGTTGATACAACTTAAGGGCGTGCCTCCGAACACTGCCTTGACTTCACAATTTGGGCATTCATTGGAACGTAGTTAAAATTTTCTTTTTTTGAGGTGCTAGTGCTAATGATTGTGGCTGCGACGATGGAAGATGCTGGTAGCGATAGATTTTGGATTTGGTTTTGGCGGGTGGGGATGGGGATGGGGGTAGAGGGAAGAAGTAAACATTTTTTTTTCATTGATTTATGTTTTTTAAATTTAATTATTAATNNNATTATTAATATATTATAATTGTGTTTTTTTTATTGAAAAATGTAAAGTTACAATTTTTTCCTTTTAGAATTAGTTAAAATTATAATCAATGTTAATCATTTGATCAACTAACGGTCAAACTAACAGTTTCCTTCCATTTGAACTTCAGCTGCGACATTTTGAAATGTTTGATACCATGGGTGACACAAATAAAAGGTTTGGACAAAGTCTGTTATTAAATGAAAATTTTGGCACCGTGGTTGCAATTTTCCCTAACTTTATTAATGGACGAGTTATCTTTTTTTTTTACAAGTCAGACCCCGTGTTTTCTACAATTTGCAAATTCAGTCTGAACTTTTCAAAATCTGCAAGTCAGTCCCTGTATTTTCTATGTTCAGCAAATCGCTCTCCGAGCTATTCAGGTCTTGTAAGCTAGATCCTTTCGCAATTGTAGTAGTAGTCCTTGATTTTGCAGCTATTCAAAATCTGAATGTACAACAATTAAGACAACCCAGAATTGGTAATTTAATAACACTCAAGTACACATCAGCAAAAAAGTCCATTAAAATTTTGGATGAAATTTTTTCTG